TCTTTGTTTTTGTCTCGTCGGGCTGATCCGGGTAAATCAAAATTTATTATTTGATTGGCTGTTGGTCACGTGAACACGCCTGGCTTTAGGCAAATTGGCAATTTTAGTAAAAAAAAATTATAAACATCTTCCACAGGATATATATCTTCCAAAATTTTTTAAAGTTTATTTATATTAAAAATAAAAAATATATATATAATTGCCAAAGAAAATTTTTTGTTAGTGCATGAAAGGAAGTTTCTTATGCGTTTTTTTTTGAAAAATAGATATTTTTAACGTAGTTTCTGATCGTGTTACGTTACACTAAATTGTGGCTCGCTATTGGCTAACGGATACGAGAGATACGTCTCCCGCGGGAGATGCCTAATGAAATACGCACGTAGCGAAAACTTTTATTAAATATATATCTAATACATCACTAAACAATTTTGTCTAAATATCAAATACGTAACAAAATTTTTTTGAAAATTTTTTTTTTTTTTAAAAAATTTTGATTTTGATTGGATATTCGGTGAATACAATCAAACCATTACCGTTACAGCATTATACAAACAAAAAAATTTTAATAACGATAAACTTGGTAAGTGGGCTGGCAAAATTTCCGTTATATGTAATGACATTTCTACTGTCGAATTCATTATAACTATTTTAAATTTTATTAAAAATTCGGTATATACTTCGTAATTGGTCAGTTAAACGGTCTATAATTGGCTGGCTTGTAATATAATTATCACATGACGATCAGTATCATCGTTAAGTCACATGAGGTAGGAATAGTATTTATTTGTCTTAATATTCGTCGTTGCATTAATGTCAGTAATATTATACTCGCTATGAAAAAAATCACTCAAATTTATTAACGTCAATCTCCGAAACTCTCAAAACCGTATAGGTTTGCTTATGCGTGATCCGTCTCCTATGTCGATTTCTCGGCTTCTTTTTAAATATTTGAATAAATGGACCTTTAGGTTGTTCAAGCACTGTAGCTTTGATGTTATAAAATGCTTCAGAAACAAAAGGTTGTCCTTTGATTGTGTAATCCTTGGATCCCAATTCGAGCACCCGATTTAATCTTAATTCATCTCCAACATTCACGTCACGCAACCTATGAGCAATCACGATATCATTTTTGGTGATTAAAAATTTTTGAGATCGAATATCTACTACAGCATAGTAACGTAATTGATCTCTTAATTTATTAATTGCTTCTTTTGTCGAATCAGTGAAACCCTTTGGTAAACGAAGCGATGGTAATTTCTCTGAGGTATTTGAAAGAGGCAAAGCTTTTAATTGTGTTTTTGGTTTTACTGTAGTAGTTGTTGTATAGTTAGGCGAAACTTTTTCACTTAATGATAAAATAAACCTCTGGTGAAACAACGAAACCCTGGAGAAAGACGAAATTCCTGGAAAAATGAAACCCATAGAGGAATGGTGAAACCCCTTGATATTTATAGGAACTAGAAACAAACTCATTTTTGTTTGCATCAGTAATATGTCGAAGATAATCTTATAAAATCTCGCACGTGGCTTAACGTAAGACGTTGTTTATGTGCGACGGTTGTCATACACCATAATAAAATTTGTACATTTGTACATTCAAATCTTCCGTAAATTCTTAGAGATATAAATATGAAAAATAAAGCTAAAGGTAATAAAAACAAAAGTAAAAAAAATAAAGGTAATCGTAATAATAATAAAAACAAGAACAAGTCAGAAAGAACAAATTCTCGCAAATCTCATAAGATGGACCCCGTTGACACGTTGAAAGGTACTTTTTGTTTATCTTTCTCATAAGCTCTTATATCAACGTTTGCTAATTCGATCCTTCCGATTAAACAGCCAACGACGATTTGGAAAATGGATCGCCTAACGATGATATTGAAATATGCCCTCACCTTAAGGAGGCAGTAAAAATACAAAAACTCAAAAAAATCATCAAGAATGCTAATCTAGCGAACGCGCAGTGTAAGGTATGAAAACTTGCAATCAAAAGGATTGACCTATTTGTTTGGCATTTTTCACTTTATTAATAGCTCGATCTATTATAGGAATGTGTGCAGCAAGCTGAAGATACTCAGGAAACACCAGATCTCACAGATGGCGACAATATTACCTCTGAAAAGGAAACAGTACAACCACAAATATGGCTCTGTCTCGCTTGTGGTAAACTTCATTGTGGCCGCTATGATAAGAACCATGCGGAGCAACATTTTAACAAAAATAAGCCACATACGATTGTAATGAAACTGGATATGTCCATGCCCGAAACTTGGTGTGTGGATTTTGTTCTAGAGTGAAACACCTGTGTCTATCGTTAACACTTTTTCTTAGTCATTGTTCTCATTTACCAAAATTTTATAATTCGATTTATTATAGGTGTTATTCATGCGATAAGCAGATAAATTCTTCTACTGGAAAAAATCAAGTTATCAGTCAAGCACGAAACACTGTCTTAAAGGTTTTTAAATTGGATAATAACGTCAAAGGTTTGATTTATAATTAAACTTTTACATTTTATGAAAACATCCCTTACATATTGCATATTTATTTTCCTAGCTCCAGTTCATGAATCAAATGTATCGACAAACAACGACATGAAAACTCGCTACCAAACTGCCGCTCCCGGATTGGAAAACCTTGGCAACACTTGTTTTTTTAATTCAGTTATGCAGGTGAATTAACTATGAAAAAATGATTTTATGTTCTGCGTCCCTTTTCTATGATTAAATATTAACATTGTATCAAATTTAAGGTCGTGGTAGCGACTTCGATTTTGCGTGATATCCTCCAACCTGACAACCCATATAAAAAATATCCTTTCATAAAGGCTGAACGGTGCCCTGCAGCTAAAGAGGATGAATATGTGGGTCCGTTAACTGATGCGTTTAAAAAATTCTTGAAAGTCATATGGGCGCAACAAGGAGGAATTGTTACTCCTCGCGACTTGTTCACCGAAATAGCAAGAAAATGGAAAGAGTTTCGTGGGTGGAGACAACAAGATAGCCAAGAACTCATGCGTTTAATGTTTGATAGTATTAAGAGTGAAGAGTTTGAGGTAAGGATATCAATAAAATAAGTAGCTTCAATATATAACATTTACAGTTACGACATTAATATATCATTAAGTGGCATGTAAAATTAACGTGAATGTTTGAAAGAAAGATCGTTAATGGCTAGTTTAAATCGTTTCATTGCAGTTCATAAAAAAGATACCTCATGAAGACAAAGAAGAAGAACCGAAAACGGAAGATAGAGAATGTATGCACTCTTCATTACTTATAGATGCTAAGAATAACAATAGATTAACTGGTTTTTCTTGAAAAATTAAGTGGTCAAAGAGCAAGACGATTCTTCCAGTGAAAAATCCCTACAACAAAAGCCCGAATCTTTCATTGATGTTTGCTTCGGAGGAAGGCTAGTCAGCGTCATTGTTTGTGACACTTGCAAACATGTTAGTAACTTTACTGTCCTCCTGTTATTAATTTGCGCAATTGAAGTTAATTATAACCATTTGGCCATCTTTTAGGAATCTTATTCATATGAAAAGTTTTTGGACGTATCATTGCCGATACAATCTCCTTTCGGCGATGATCAACATAAAGGATCTAAGCAGGTTAGATAAACGCAAAATCTTAAATTAAGAGTACCTTTACCTAATTTTTGTATAATATTTAGATGTCTTTCAGCGGCATAAAAAAAACCGTTAGTAATTTTGGTAATTATTTATCGAGGAGTCGAAGTAATGACAACACGTCTCCACAAGAGTCACCTACAGACGATTCTTCTCGAAGCGGTGATGATGACTCAAGCGATGATGGCTCCAAAGAAAATGGAGAATTCGAGGATAGTAATAGGGACGATGATTCTGAAAATGGAATAGGGATTGCGAAAATTTCAAAAGATCAAAGGAAGCGAATAAAAATGCTTCTCAGGGAACCAACAAGGTCTGGTCGGTCCACACCAAATTCAACCAGGGATAATATAACTCTTGTCGATTGCCTTGCAAGTTTCATGAAAGTCGAAACTTTGGATGGAGAAAATCTTTTTGCGTGCGAAAACTGTTGGAAATCACAAAATCCTTCAGAAGAACCAAGTAGTAATGGTACGAGTGGAGGTTCTGTGGTGGAAGAACAATCAAATGAATTGAATGACATTAGTGTTGAAAAGAATGACCAAGTTGAAAATCATGTAGAAACTCATGATTTATTGAGAACGCAGTTGGAAGATGACGATATTTTTACTGCAGCAGTGGTGGATGACGCAGTTTATTCAGAAACTACACATAATGACGTGGACGATACAACCATGGCTGATGATTCACAACCATCAGAACCTGCACCAATGTCACTCTCTTCAGATGACCCGAATTCGTCATCAGAAACTACACCCGAGTCTTCATCCAATGCACCTATAATTACTACACCTGAATCTTCGTCTTCTGTACATACTATGATGAATGATGCACCGCTATTGTCAGAGACTACTAATGATTTACCATTAGACGAACGCTCTTCAGACGTTAGTGAAGATTCAAATGACCAAACAGCCGATCAACCTAGTTCAACGAATTATACTAATAATGACCCTGACTCGCTCTCTGTTGATAATATAATCCCATCCGCAATACCTTCATCTTCGAAGCCTTTAAAGAAGGAATCCCAGCCTCAGCCTCAAAAATACATCTTTAGAAAGGCTTATAAACGTTATCTATTTGACTCTTTGCCCCCAGTGTTAGTTTTTCATTTGAAACGTTTCCAGCAAGTTGAAGGTCGATTTTCCGTCAGCACAAGAAAGATTGACGATTTTGTAGGTTTTGAAGAAGAAATTGATGTTCAGGATTTTATTGTTCCACCCGAAAGTGAAGAAATGGAAGATGAAGATGACGAGAGTGGATCTGAATCCTTAGCTGAATCCCGTATCACTAAATATCGGCTTTATGGAGTCGTAGTACATTTAGGAAGTCTTTTTAATGGACACTACATTGCTTACGTTCTTTCAAGGAATATCGTTCCGATGAGGGAACAATATGGTGGTTTTCCGTATCTCTCCGACGATGGTTATAAAGAAGTCGAAAAGATAACGGAGACAGTGGGTGAAGGGCAAAGGCAATGGATTTATTGCAGTGATAGTTCAGTTCGTGCAGTAAATGTTGAAGAAGTTCTTAAAAGTATGGCTTATCTTTTATTTTATGAGCAAGTTCAATAAGTACAATGAATAGCACAAAATCATCGTTGATGTCAATATTGATCTTTCATTATCAAAATTTTAAATTGTTAACTAAAAAAACAATTTAACATTTAAAATAAATTATTGTCGATAAATATGTATCTTCCTCTCGAAATCAGCTCAAGTTACATCTTCGTAATTCAATAAGTTTACTTTTTAATCCTGATTATGTAAAGAAACCATGTTAATATATATAAAGATAAAGCAAAGAATTTATTATAGCGATAGCAATACTTTATTTTTTTAAAAATAATCTATTTTTTAAATCCAGCCTACTTAAATGTACATAGTGATAGGCGTTGAACACCTTCAGCCAATACTAATAAATTGGGTCAATTCTATCCTAAATCAGACCAACTTTGTCGGCTGTTATTAATGAAATTAGTTTATATTATCTTAAGCTGCTGAAAAAAAATTTTAATTAATCAGTAATATATCACACTGGTAATAGAAAATAATTTTTTATTTTAGTATATATTTTATTTTTTAAGTATGGTATTTATTAAATAATTTAGATAATTAGTTTTTAAAAGATTTATTTTTTTTATATATGTTTTATTAATTTTTTAATTTTTATAATTATATATAGTAGTTTTATAAAAAAAAAAGTTAATTATGTTGATTGAAAAGGCAAAAATTAGAAATATATTTTTGAATTTGAGTTAAATTCAAATTGTAATATCAATTATTATCGATTTTTAATGAATAATAATCGATATTTATCTTGTTTAAATTTTTTTTAATATGTTTTTAATTTATTTTTAATAATAAGTAAAAATTTTAACAAACCTTTTATACAAAATTTTGTTTATTTTAAACTTAAATATTAAATATAACATTAAAAAAAAATAAAAAGCTATTTAATTAAATATAATATAAATAAGTTTTTGGTTTTATTAAATTTATATAAAAAGAGGTAAACTTTTACAAAAAGGTTAATAGTTTAAATTAGCTAAAAATAAAAAATATTTTGCAATTAAAAATAGATTTTCTTTGATCTACTCTAACTAATCAATTTGTAACAATTAATGATTATATTATATAAAAAACTAGAGAGTATTAGGTGCTATTATAGTAGTACAAATATAGTTTTGAAAATTTTAAATATAGAATTTTTTTTATAAAGTTTTAACTATAGTATTTACAAAAATAAAAAATATGAATCTTCTTTAGTATAGGTGGG